TTCCCGGCCAGGTTGGACGGGGCTCTGAGCACCCTGGGCTGGTTGGAGATGTCCCTGTCACTGCAGGGGTTGGGCTGGGCGGCCTCTGAAGGTCCCTTCCCACCCAAAGCATTCTATGATTCTGTGATTCTATGACTGGAGTCCCGCAGCTCTTCTCCTCGGGCCGCGCCGCCGTCCCCGGGGGATCCATGTCCTCCGTGGGGCAGGGGCACTTTCTCGCAGAGATCTAAGCAGGCCCCACCACAGAAACACGGCAGGGGGGGCGACCAGCACCCCTTTCCTCCCTCTTCTCTCAGCCACGACTCAAAACAGAGTCCCTGGCAGGTCCCTGGGGCGGCAGCACACACAGAAATTCGGCTTGGGCAGAAAGAGAAGGGAAGAGGGTCCCCAATTCCATGTCCTAGTAAGGGCAGGATCTGTGAAATACAGAAATAGCCACCAACTGGGGTTCTACTTTATTTGAAATTTAGATAAGTACCCCCTTGCGTTACATAAACAAACAGTGATGTGTCAAGTACACTACCTTAAATATTTACGCAGCAAGCCCAGCTCCCTCAGCAGTCCTCTTGCTTTCCCTCACATTAGAAGAGAGTTACAGAATCAAAAATGTTAACCCACCGTGGTCTGTTCAAGCATTGTGTAAGTATAGGCTTTTTTTCTTTTTTAAGAGTGATTTAGGGTCTTTCATATGTCTTTCAGTTACATGTTTCTGTATGTGAGAAATCCTGGGAAAACAGACGACCATCATTTTGCAGTCCTACAAGCTTCCATGTTGAATGCTCCTTGTTGTGTTTACAGAAAGAACCTAACACCAAAATGCTAAGGAGCATGAAGTTGAAGTAAAACATAATTTAAAAGAATTTTTCTGTTTAGCAGAATTGTAACTTTATTTAGAGTTCTTTTAATGCTGTCTTCTTGAAACTGAAGGTGCAAGTGTGATGCAAGTTTAGGTGTCACAAGCTCTAACTGCTTTTACAGGTTTTAGAGTTTGGGTCGGACTCATCAAGAAATTTTGGGGCTGAGCTTCACGGACTTCCCAAGATTTGAACTACATTCCTCAAGTGCTGTGTGCTGACTCCGTCACCTAGCTAACAGTAAATACTGAAAAAAGAGCTGTTGCTTAAACTCCAGGTCTCAGGTAAGAGCACAGAAGAATGCTTCCTTGCACTGAAGTCACAGCCACAGCCTGTCTCTGGGCATTAGGTATTTAACCCACACTTTCCTTACAGAACACTGCACTCGCATCCTTACCTGGCCTTCCAGATGAGAGCTCTCAGAGGTTACAGAAATGAGGACTTCACTCCTATCCTTGAGAGAATTCAAGGAACCTCTATTTATAATCTTCCAGATGATTGAGCTGATCACTCTGCCAGTACCACTGATGGACAGGAAAATCTGGAGCAAGGCTCTCATTTGACCCTTCCTGTTGAAATTGTTCTATTTTCTGTGGGCCAGCTAGTAATTGCGTGCTTTTCTAGCCTTTTGGTTCAGACACTCATTTCAGCAGGGAGGATCTGCATTCCAGTCTCCGCTGCAATGAATGTCACCTCCAGATGAGCGTCTGCTCACGAGCCCCATCTCATCAAGCCAGTTTTTGGCAGGCTGTGCTGCTGTTGCCCTCTCTCCCCTCTGACCTCCACTCCGGCTCACTTTTTCCGCACGTCTCTCAGTACTCCTCCCTCAGCAGCACTCCATTTTTCACCCTTTGCTCCTCCTTCCACCAGAATCGCTTCCATTCCTGCACCCAACCTAATATGCCTCATCAAGGTGATTCACCTACTCTCCACACACCTTACCTTAAATACTGCTGCCTTTCAGTTAGGATCCAGAGACTAAGCTGTATTGTTGTTTTTATTCTGATTTTGGCTGTGTGTTTCATTATGCCATGCAAACTTTAAGCTGTTCAAGAGGAGAGATGAGAACACTCCAGATTAAGCTATGTCACAGAGATTACAATACCCTGCTGGGAGAGAAAACAGGCGGCCTGGCCTGCCTTTGTAGACATCCCCAGCCTTCACAGTGGACACCCATCCAGGCACTGTAGAAATACCAATTCCTGCATTTGCAGTTAAATATTTTTGAGAATTGGGTGCTGGGAGATCTTGCTCCAAGGAGTAAAGACCAGCTGCAAGACTTTGGCAATACATGCTGTTATCAGCATGTATCACACAACATGCATGAGAGGCACTGAAACGCTTCGTGTGGCGAATCATCCTCAAGCCACAGGTCCTGTTAACGAAATCTTACGGGGTGCTCTTTTCTGAATAACGTGATTTGAGCCGTCCATCAGGGCGTGCTAACTCATCAAGGAAGCAAAGGGAAGTCAAAGCTCAGCAAAGCAAGTTAACCTTTTAAGAAAGTTTTCACTGTTGCTTTCTGCACCACCTGGATGCACTTTACTTTCAAGCTAAAATGTATTTCTATCCTCTTTTTTTTCAATCAATCACCTGGATTGAAAGATGTGGAAAGATCACAACGTTTTTTTGGAGTGAAATAGAGCTAGGACAAAACCGGTTATCCAAAAGAGCAAGCCAGTGACTCTATCCTTATCTGCATCTTTGTGCAGTAGCATTGCGACTGATTTTCCACTCTAGTTAGATTTGCTGTAGTCATAATTAACAGGCACATCCCTAAACAACCTACATTCGCTATCAGCACATGGCTCCTGTGGAAGCCACGAGTTTTTGTCTGGCCAGCTTCGTTTCAGGGTAGCCGCTATCAACCCAGTGCTCGTACTTCCAGTGACACTTTTCATCCCACCTGTTTGTTGAGTGAGCACGGGGAATGTGACACCGAATTGGATTTTAAGAATACATGTTTTCCCTGGATAACAGGCAGCTTTAAAACTGGAGTAAAAGGGAACTGGGGAACCTGGAAGTGAGTGATTTATTAACTAAGTCCCTCTAAAACTTGCTTAACCTTTTGTACAGTAAATCTGTCTCAACAAATATTTAAGTATCTTCCTACCCCCAAATCCCCAAACACTGAAACATGAAGGAAAACCGTGATTATTTTTCTTTTTTACCCCCCCCCTTCAGCCCCAAGGAGCTTTGCCCAGAAGACATGAACATCCTCCAATCCCATCACCTGAACTCTTCAGTCACTTCTCTGAGCAACTCTTCTCTTTGCACACCAAGATACAATGGAAAATGGGATCATTTTAATCAGTCATTACTTTCAAATGTTTAACAAAAAGACTGCTTTGAAGAAAGCCTTAAATCTTTGCTATGGATGTGTTATTTCTAATTGGCCGTAACATTTGTGGCCTAATTGTAGCACATAATCTAGACATTATTAGCCTGTTATTCCTTTGAAAAAACAGGACATCGGAGACTTGCTGCCTTAGTTGGGCCCTTTCTTAGCCTTTACTATTTTAGAGTTAGCTCTTAGCCATCTCCAAGGTAACAAGGCACGGGCTACGTAGGAAAGAGCTGCAATACAGCTAGTACAAAACACATGTAAATGAGACTGTAGGAACATACTTGTTTCTTCCGCCTTTGAAAGGCACAGAAGAGATTTCTGTGGAGAGCTGGGGCAGCTTTAAACAGCAGCAAGCAGAGCAGCATCCAGCGCACGTGGCAGGTGTACTGTGCTGCACTCGGGGCCTAGTCATCCACAGCCTGGATAGCTGAGAGTTTGAGTAGTAAAGCAAAAAAAAAAAAAAAAACCAAAACAAACCACCAGGCAGGAAATCATTCTTTCAGACTGCTGCTGGAAATAAAAAGCTACAGAGAAGGTAAAAACAGAAAAGCATGTGGGCCAGGCTTCCTGCCATTTCTGTCCCTTATTGTCGCCTTTCTCCCCAACGACAGAACCTGGCAGCTGACGCGAAATAGCTTTGTTTCAGTCTTCATCGCTTGAAATCTCAAAATCGATACGGTAATCCCGATGTTCAGTTCCTTTTGTTACTACATTTTATTAGTTAGAACGAAAGTAAAATGTGCCTGTTAGCTATCATTCTACTGTACTAACAATCTGACTGCAGGATTTCAGCTATCAAGATCCTTTCAGAGGACTGGTGTTTTTTTCTAAACCAAACCCACAATATCAGAACAGCTGGCTTCCACAAACTTCTCTCTGTACTCATCCAGCAGCAAAAAAAGACACCATTTTGTGCATACGTTGGTACTTTCTCTTGGCATTCACACAATTAAAGGAGAGAACTGCCAGCAAGCTCAGTGCTTGGGGTGCGTCGTGCTTGCAGCAGGCAAGGAAGCTGGGTGTGGAGGACCCCTGGGGATCCCCGAAGGAAGCAAGGGGTGCACAGAAGTTGCCTTGGGCACAGGCGCTGCCAATTGTCCCTTGTAAGTGACCTGGGGAAGCACGAGGCCAACATAGCCGAGGGATAAGCTGGCAGAGCATCCCTGCCTACCTGAGCTCATTAGTTACAGCAGTTGTCTGCCATTTGCAACCACCCTTGGCTTGCTGCTCTCATCATCACCATCCAGCGCTCCAGGAGAGTCAGGATGATCACGAGGCTCTCTCAGGGTGGCTCAGCAGAAGTTCTTCCCAAATTAAGAGAAGTAACACATTCAAAAATCCCCAGCTGCTGAAACAAAGTCACTAATTCTGTTATCCATCAGCAACTTAAAGCAACAATGAATGAACAGAACTCTCTGGTAGCTGAGGAGGAAGGAGAACACGGCAAACGAAACACTGCTCTCAAGCAGTATCCTAAAAATATATCTTTTGAAAGAATATACATACGTACAAGTGTACAGTTCCCATTTATTTTACTTGAATTAAATAAAAAAGTGTATTTCCCATATTACACTTTTTCTTTTCATCTGAACCAGTCCTAGCAGAAAGGAAGTATAACCCTCCCACCCCCTTGAAATTTAAACATACCAGTCTGCCGGCCCTGGAAAAGTTTGTGTCAATACTACTCCCTTGTAGAGTGAAAAGGGCTTCAGAAACAGACTCCATTGCCAGTCCACCATGACTAACTTCTTGATTAACCTTTCATGGTTTCCACTGTCTGAACAGCATCTAGAACTCTCTTCTGAGTTACTGGACATACATCCTGACAGTAGAAAATCCAAAATGTGTTCTTGCCCAGTGAACACTGGCACTGCTTGTAAAGTCTGAAGAGAGTGCTCTTGTCTAACGAGGTTGGCCAAGCAGTCCTGCTTTAGCTGCCAGAGCTTCGTTCTGCTGAATGTGGTACTCCTGAAATCTCATGGAGATCCTTTGGGTCATTTTTAAATACTTCTGTAGGCAGTGGTCTGAGCAAGTCATCTACAGGAGAGGGAAACAGAAGGCTTCAAACAGTACTTAAAACACTTCCCCACACAGGTCCCAACATATAATGATGAGGTGACTACATCTTCTATCCGGTGTTAAGCCTCAAGATGAGGGCCTAATCGTGCACAGCCCCTCTGTGCAGCAGAAAACGTGAAGTTTAGTTTGAGGGATGTCTGAAACATCTTTTAATATTCATCTCATATGGAAGTCTTCATGGAAAATATTTCAGATCTAGGAGATATTAGCATCTCATCCTTGGGCTCCTCTTGTGAAACTGAAGTATATAAAGCATTTTATTTTGCAATAAATACTACATCTATTAAAATTAGTATCTCCTTTCAATTCTGTTTACAAACACATACTATGTTTGACAGTCAAATATGGTCTACTGTGTGCTAGCTCAGTTTAACCTTTTTTTGACCTTGTTCCTATTAGCTCTTATCAGTCTTCTTACACTTGGCTTGGTTAACCTTCCCAAAAGCAACCAGACTACCCTCTGAAGTTCCATCAGTCAGCTGGGCAGGGAAATAAATACCAGGGCCTATTCCACCCACAGTATTATTTTTTAAATTTAGAGGGTATTTTTTGTTCTTTATTTAAGCATAGAGAAAGAGTTATGAGATTACTTCTGAGCAACAGTTCTGCCAGCTGGATATTCCGTATCATGATTCTAAACCTTGCTATCACTGTAAAAGGTAACAAATTTAGATAGAAAGGAAAGACGACCACTTTGCACGATTACTAGAAAAACCAGAAATTGCTTTGATTCTGCTCAGTATAAAGGGATGTGAAAAGCAGAGGGGCTGAAAATGAACAAGACGAAAACCCCATGCAGCTCTGCACACCACCCACCACTGGCCCTTCTCTCTCCCTGACCTGGCATCAGCTACAGCAAAACCTGTTAAGCAGGAGTTAAGTCTGAGTAGGACACAAATTTTGGAACTACCCCAAGCCACTTCTCCCAGAGGGTGTGGTATTTGTGATGCGATGCCCGGGGAAGTCTGGACTTGCAGTGCAGACTTGCTGTAGGGATAGAGGTCAGAAGCCGTTTTTTCAAATGTGGACTCTCAAAGGAGATTCATGGAGGTATTTATCTTAATTATTTAATAAAAAAATACAGCTTTCAATAGGAACATAGGAATTTCCGTACCAGATCAGACCAGTGGTCCATCTAGACCAGTGTCCTGTTTCCAGCAGGGGTGAGAGCCAGATGCTCTGCAAGAAACCCCGTAATGGATAATTATGGACGAAACTTCCATAAGAAAGTCTCTTCCTAGCTTCCATTGTTACAGATGGCTCTTGTACTGCTGGACATGGCCTCTTTGCAGATGACAGAAGAAGAAAAAAAAAAAAAAAAAAAAAAAAAAAAAACAGAATCTAAGAATATGTTTTGTATCTAAATAATCTTAATTCCCCTCCAATAAGCATTCTTTGGTTTTGGATCCCAGGTCTTTAATGAAAGACTACATGAACCGTTATTTTTAAAGAAATTCTAGTAACACTTTGGGTAGCAGAAGAAAGAAGTATAATCCTCTACTGGAAATCAAATACCATCCCAGAAAGGTAAAGAGGTTGTGCTGCTGACACTTCTGTCAGTTCTGTTAACTGATGCTGCTTGTATTGTTCAAGCAATTCAAAATGAGTTGGTAAAAGACAGTAACAAAACCTTATCCAGAATAATTCTGCCCTCCTGTAGTCAATAAAAATCCCACTAAAGCAGATGCAGAGAAGATCAGGGAAACAAGGAATCTGCCTTGGGAAGCTAAGAGAGCTTTGTTTAGCGCAGCAAAACAGAAGCTGAAAGGAGACATGATTTTTGCCTGCGCTGAGGAGTTAAAACTCCAAGGAGGCAGAAAATGCTCAAAACCAATGGTTAGTTTAAAACTTCAGGTTTCGTTTTTCCCTGCCAGCAGAGTCGAGCAAACGTTATTAGACTTTTAACCAACAGAATGATGATAGTCTGAAATGGCCTTTCAACAGGGGAGGAGAGGCAAAAACCATGCAACTAATCTTGAGAGCTTCATCTTTTTTGCAGATGACTTTGTGATGGAGCTCCCTGCAATGCAGAGAAGTGGATTTAACAGCCAGAGCTTTGGAGGCCTATGTTTCTGTGACTCATTACAATGCAGGGAATGTAGGTAAGTAAACAAGTATTTCAGTAGGATTCTACCTCCAAAGAATGAGATGCAGGCTGTAGGTTGTCAACTTCCGTGTCCATAAAGATACCACCCATCAGAAGTTGGGGGACAAGAACCTCCACTGATAGCTCAGCGAATAAAATACGCAGAACTGCAATAAGAAGCCAGTACTCACAGCGAGATTGGGAAGATTCCCTCTGTGTGTACATAATGAAAAGACAATGACAAAAATTCAAAAGCCCATAGTTTGTCTGTAGCTGATGATCTAACCCATCAAAAGTACTTGGCTTTGGTTCGTCGTTTGGTTTCTTTTTGTAAAGAGACTGTGCCTTGGTTTTGGCTGGGATAGAGTTAATTTTCTTCCTAGCAGCAGGCATAGTGCAGTGTTTTGGATTTAGTAGGAGAAGAATGTTGATAACACGCTGATGTTTTTAGTTGTTGCTAAGTACTGCTTATGCCAGTCAAGGACTTTTCAGCTTCCCATGCTCTGCCAGGTGCACAAGAAACTGGGAGGGGGCACGGCCAGAATAGTTGATCCAAACTGGCCCAAGGGCTATTCCATACCATACGGTGTCATGGGCAGTATAGAAACTGGGGGGGGTTGGCCGGGGGGCAGCGAGCGCTGCTCAGGGACTGGGTGGGTATCAGTCAGTGGGTGGTGAGCAATTGCATTGTGCATCAATGGCTTTGTATATTATTATTACTATTATTATAATAGTTATTATTAATACTACTACTACTGCTATTTTACTTTATTTCAACTATTAAACTGTTCTTATCTCGACCCACAGGTTTTACTTTTTTTCCTCCAATTCTCTCCCCCATCCCCTCAGGGTAGGGGGAGTGAGTGAGCGGCTGCGTGGTGCTTAGTTGCTGGCTGGGGCTAAAACACGACAGACTGTTAGGGTGCAAAGAAGGATTTTTCATCACCTTTGGACATACTTGGAGAAGCAAAACTACAGACAAGCTATTCCCCTTCCTTCCACTAACTCGCTTCTTTTCTCACTTGGAAGCCACATGCCAGACACCTATACTGCACTAAAGACTGCTAACTAGCTTTTTAGCCACTTGAAAGATCAAAACTTTAAGTTGCTTCTGAAATTTGAATGCTACACAGCAGTTCTACCAAAGGGTCAGGAAAAGCATAGGAAATGTTTACCAACCTCTTCCGGTTTAACCTCTCTGCTAGTGAAATCCTTTATGCAATCCAGGAAGCAGTTTTCTGTAAGTTTATTGTATGTTCCAAGAAACTCCTTGAACTATAAATAAAAATTGAACAGACAATGAGTATTTAAAAAAAAAAAAAAATCTACATTAATTTCTTACACACAACTGCATGGGCCATCTGGTGACACTAACATTTAAAGGACAAGCCGCTAGAAAAATTTACTATCAGTCAGAAGATTTCAGCACCAAATGCTGCTAGTACTCAAATCAGATACTATACTGTGTCTGTCAATGGTCAAATGCTTAAATTTGGGTTGCTAAAGAACTAGTCTTAACTCAGATGATAACTTAAACTTTTTATCCTTCTCCATGCCCTACACCTTTTACTCTACGTGACAAAGTAATACAAGATCTTCAAAGCCACCACTCATGAATACAGCATCTTACCTGCTTGATCTGATCAGATTCCGATATTTGTCCAGCCATATTCTACCGCCTGTGATTCACACACCTATTCTGAAGATAAAAGTCAAGTTTCACACAAAAAGCATGCATATAAACTGCAACGTTTTACAACAGAATGGAATTTTATGCGTCCTTGAAGTGTGAAGTGCAACTTTGCTAGCAAACTTTCAAGCCACCCACTTGAAGGAAGGTTATCTATTTGAAATGTATTCAGTTAAAAGAACATCCAAGATAATGCCAGGTATGAAACCTTCCCAGATTCACCTGTTAACTGCTGTCCTTTAAACACTTCTTAAGCATTTCAAACAGTTAAAGTGACTTTAAAAAAAAAAAAGGTATTTTCTAAATGCTTTCAAACTCATAAAGTAAAACTAGGGCAGGAGTCGGGGGAGAAGCATTTATAACATTTTCTAGCCTTACAGTTTCAGTGACTTTAGATGTCATATGTAAAAACAGTAAGGAATAAAGGCAAGCATGAAATGGTAGCCACTCTGAATAGATGCAGCATAAGCCAGCTTGCCTCAGAGAGGCAGACGCCTGGTTTCTGTGTAGCTGCATTCTCACCAAACGCTTAAACTAGAGCAAATGTTCTGGTCATTGAATATAGTGAATTAAATGCAAGAAAACACAGAAGAATGAGAATGGCCTTAAAGGAAGTGAAACAGACAAAGAAAGAGGGAAGAATGAACAGCCCTGGATCCAAGAATTTGAGCAAGCATCCTCGAGGAAGACTCACATTCCTAATCCAACACGGTCAACAAGTTAAGGCTTGAAAGCATCCCTGCAGAGTTCCTAGAAGAATACTGAAAGCTAGTCCTCCTTTTCCCTTAATTTACACATTATCCAAGACCTATCACAGATGATAATGCAAGCTAATATTACACACTGCCGAGAGCAAGATCCTTCAGTTTAATTCACATCAACTTGTGGAAGAAAAATTAGCACTGAAGTGTAATCACTTTGTGAAAAAAGTTCATTTAGCCTTTCAACAAGGGCTACTTATAATTAATCTTGTATTATGCTTTGCCAAGTTTTGAGCAAGACATGCATGTTTTAGAAAGCTTAAAGTATTCCAGTCTCTCAGCAGGGAGGAGGGAGAGGGTAAGCACGCCTTCTGAACAAGAACAAAAAGACATTCATAATTATTTCTACAACAGAAAGAAAACTTAAGCAACTAAAAATAGCACTATGGAGCTCTCACAAGCATGCACTCTCCCTGCACCCCCTCCCAGTAGCAGAGCAATTTTAACATCTGCCTCGTAACATTACACTTATCACCACACAGGAAGTCAATTCAGGGACTGGAGGTAAAGAGCACATTACGATTCTTGGATTTAAAGACGCGTACCCCTGCCACTAAGAATTCCTCGTGGGTAGATAGGTCACACAGGTTACTCTTAAGGAGAACCTATAGGATATGGTTGCTCAGAAGAAACAAGGCATTACTCAGGTTAACCTCTAACTTGTTTTAGGAGAGGTGGACAGGACTGTCATCTGGGACAACAACTAGTGAAATTGGATAGCAACTCCACGCTCTCATTTCTCAGCCTGTTAGCAGAGAAATCAGTGACAAGTCTATAAAGTCAGTTTAAGCAGATTATTAAACAGAGAGCTAAAACCCACAGAGAACAGGAAAGACTTTTGTCCTCTCCCAAGCACAGAAAGCTAAAAGCTTCAACTGTCAGTGCCGCTTTCTCACACTCGGCATTGCTTCATTATCCTTGTTTATAACAAACACGATCTTCTGTTCTTCTGTGACTGGTTTGGCAAGCTTAAAATTACATTTTTACTGAACTGCAGTTCCACAAAGCTTTTACACTTGCACTTGGGAAACAGCTCTGATTTACATCAGCACAATGGCATGATCTGATTTTAAGTGTCTGAAGCACTTGTCCCTCCACAGGTATTTTACACTTTGGACACAGCGGGCAGTGAAATTACACAGCTCTACTGCACCTCTTCAGTAGCTACAAACTACCGGCAGTTGCCTTAACATCTAAAAATGCACCACCTGAACGTTCCCAGAAATGTGCATTTCTGGTTTATTCCTAAAGTATGTTAAGTGTATCATTTCAAGTTTTCTCGTTGTTTGTCCCCTCTCCTTCCAGCCTGTAAAACAAGCAAGGGAAAAAAAAAAAAGGATGAAAGAACCCATTACGGGGCTTGGCACCTCGACTAACACACCGCACAGCTTCTTACAGAGCTGCTCACACAACTCCAGCATGCCTCAGGTTTAAGCCTATGGAGCCTGGATTACTTTCCTCTGGGCTAAATGGGATTTGGAAATTCAGCATTGCACTTTTAAACATGTCACACTGAAGGAAGCAGGTATCTCTGAATAAACCTCTGCAACAAGGGCCACATGGTCTGGATGTGCTGGTTCCCCAGGAAAGCAGCAACAGCCGGGAAGTCTCTCCCTTCTTGAAGGGCCCTGGAGCTCTTCCAAATAAGTTTCGATGTTCTAAAGAGACATTATTTTAAGATAAGCCTCTCTGAACAAAATTAGCAGTTAAGGATAACTTGAGGTTTTGATTTTTCAGTTAGGCATAATGGGTTTTCCATCCTCTTTCCAAAGACAATAAAGGCTTTAGCCTAGTCAAACCCATTCTCCCTGCAAGATCCTTCCCAGCTCCCAGCCCTGTTTTAGAATCTGGAAAATGCTTTTAAAATTTCCTTCTGCTGCAGCTGCCACTCCCATTACCATGGAAACATGGAATCACTACAGAGTGACAGCTTTTTTTAGAAAGCTAAAGCTTGTTTATTAAATAAATAACAGTGATTAGCTTAAGGTTTCCTAGCTAACCTGGGTTAGTCATCTATCTGTTTCCATGGCAGGAGGAACAGGAGCCAGAACTACAGAGGTCAGAACTCTTCTAAAACTTTTTATGTGTGGGAATACAGCTTCCCTAGCTGTATCTACAGACCTTCGGAAGCAGAGGCCTCACAAACATAACTCCTAAGCACTAATAACTGGAACAGAGCTTTAGATTATTATTACTGTACTGCTGGGTGGCTGAAAAGCCTGCCTCCATTTAACAGCCTGGAGTTCTTACAGGTGAAACATGCACTGTAAACTCCAGTGAGGAAGGTTTTTTTTCCACTGATGCAATCAACATTAGTGTCTATGACCTAATCTTGAGCCAACAGTATCCTTTCCCATGGAAACTAAACAAGCCTTGTGTTTTGAGGGTTTTTTTTTCAACCTTTTTGCAAGGAGCTACATTTTATTGGGGGAGGGGTCTGTGGGGAGACACCAGAAGTCCATCGCACTTGTTATCCTGATTAAGAATCTGCATTAGGTTCAGGTACAGCCTGTTCTATACACACAAGGCTGCGATGTTTTTTAAACCTTCACTTCCAATTGTACACACAGAACACCATGCAAGTGTTTCTGCAGGTGTGTAAAAGGGACAAAGAAGAATAAAAATATCAAGTCAAAGAAATGTGTCAAGATAAAGCACCCACAGCTTGTAGAGAAAAGTTTGGGTGTGGGGTTTTGTTTTTTTTTTTATAGTTGGGAATTACTAGGCAAGAACTTGATTGACATCAGATTAAAAAAACCCTCATTGATTTAAAGAGCTCTTTTACTGAGTCTAATTAAACTACAAATACCTATGAAACCAGCAGGCCGCTAAACTAATCACATAAAATTCAGGGCAAGAGGCAATTTAACAGCAAACTGCCGGTGCTGTGTGCCTGGGCAACCAACCCACCGTCCTGCATGAGCCCAGCAAGGCAGCAGCGGTGGCCTCCCCTGTGCCCGGAGCGGGTCCAGCCGCTCTCCTTCAGCCTGGTGCTTGCAATGCGGTTACACAGAGGTTTTCTTCTCACTCCGCAAGCTACGGTGAGCCTTCAGAGGCACACGGGGAGATGAAAAAGGGACCGGTCAGAAGGTGGCTGGATAATAAGATGTACCTGATGCACAGGTTATTGTAATTCGCAATCTCGTGGCCGTGGGCTAGACCCTGCTCTGAAGAAAAAAAGCTCAATGGTAGAAAAGGTCTCCTGATGCCAAAGACGAGTTAACGTAGTAAGTCTGAAACCAGACACCCCGAGAGCCTCTTGGAACAGACTGAAGAGGTACAAGGGGTTCTGTCCTGAGGGAAAATACCTACTTTTCCGTAAGCGGTCTCCTATTTAAGTTAGATTAGGCCTGGCTGATGCTTGTGACCCAGTAAGGTCAAAACCTAAGCTGGAGACAAAACAATTTCACCTTGATTTGGTTTTTATTTTTTTTTTTTTTTTCTACTTCAATTCCTTTTTCATACTTTGCTTTGGTTTGGTTGAACTACGTGCTTCAGTTCTGGCTTTCAAGGGCACCTTGAGTTCCCCTCCCCGGGGAGATACCCGCTCAGGCGAGCCCCAGCCCCGCGGGCCCGGCCAGTGCGGGTGCAGGAGCGCTCCCCTTTCTCCCCAGCCGAGGAAAACCCCCGAAAACGGAGGGTTTTTTCTTCACCCGGGAGCCCCCTCTCATCCCCCCGGCCCTGC